TGCGGGTCAAGATTGAAGGCACAATAGAAAGATGGGAATGTGTCGTCTTCGTCTTGTTTATTCTTTTTTTCAGTCTTAACCCCTGGCATTTTGCTCAAAGAAGTTCGTACCATGTGAAAAAGAAGTACAGCGGCCGAGAATGACTTGCAATCTACCTCGCCATCAAACATTTTCGCCTTTACATCGAAAGTCGTGACTTCCACGTCCTTATAGGTCACAAGCCTCTTACATTTGCATGAAAGGCCGACCAACAAACAGAAAGAAGTAAACTCTCCCTGAATTCCTCGTTTCCCTTCGAGAAAGAGGGAGGCCCTGCTTTCTGCAGGGAGTAGCTCGGAGACCCACCAATCGTGAGGAGAGGACAGAAGTATGAGAAGAGTGCGGGAGGTAAGAGAGAAAACCTGGGAACCAGTTTTCTGCGGGCAGACGACGATTCTGCAGGTCAGCCTGCAAACGACACGCTTCGCGGAATTCGACTAATGTCTTTCATAGCAGAATTCACCACCCACATTCGTCACGTCAAAGGTTCAGACAACGGCGTAGCAGACACACTTTCCCGCATCGTCATAACGTAGCAACTTTTGCTACCACCGTCTGCTGATTACCAACAGGCGGACGAGGGCGGGAACATTCGTGCTCATTCCAGTCATCTCATTTTCTAGGAAATACAACCCACAACAGGAGCCAGTTGTCTGTGAGATGTCGACAGGCAGTCCCCTCCCTTTTGTTCCATCCAGCTTCCGGATCAAATTTTTCACTCTTTTCACTGCTTGTCACATTCTGGGATACACGCGACACGATGACTTATAACTCAGATTTATCTGGCTAAGTATGAATCGCGACGTAAGGGAGTGGACACGTGCTGCCTCCAGTGCCAGCGCTCCGAAATCACTCGACGCACATCTTCGCCCTTTTCCTCCTTTACCACTCCTGACCATTAAACAATTATAACTACTTGCTCACTTGCATTGGCCGATTTATGCGTTGGGTCGAAGCCGGCCCGATCCAGAATATTCGTGCAGAGAACGTCGACCAAGCTTCGGTTTCCAGATTCGGCGTAAACGTCTTACCACAGATTGTGGGCTCCGCACTGCCTTGAAAACGAACGTGTGTTGTAGCCCAACTGAATTGCTTCATGCAAGGGTGGAACGGCTGCGCCATTTGCGCCATTTTGCGCCAGACGCATTTGTCTGCGCCATCCTGCGCCATGTTTCGGAAACTGCGCCACAGCCAATACCTCGCGCCATTACGCACCAAATCACAAAACGTGCGCCAAAAAAAAAATTGTATTTGGTCTTGGTTTCGGTTTCTATCGACTCAATTGGCCACAATGATCGCGTTTAGCTTGGTGAGCTTTGCAATCCTTTATTCTCTTTATTCTTTCTGTGTATCCCGAGTCGGAAGTGTGCGAAAAGAAACTCTGGGGTCGTATTCCAAGCGCTACAACACCTGCCAGTGCATTGTTATTCTTCAACCATCAGCGGTTAAGCAAGTCGGCCGAGGTGAGGTCGAGTCGTTAAGCATCAGATCTGAGGCTCTGTGGCCCGGAATCTGGATTGCAGTCAGTTGAAAACAAATGAGCAAAAAATTCCTTTTAGCCAGGGATGGGCAAAATACGTGCAAATATGTATCGAAATACAAATACAAAATACTTCGTCGAAAATGTATTTAATTACAAATATAATTACATTTCCAGAAAAGCATTTAAGTACAAGATACAAATACAACCAAATGTATTTGGTCTCCTCCAAACACTTTTTCAAATACATTCCTCAAAATTGGCGTCAGCGACTTCATGGCACCTGCAACGGGTTTCTGGGTATCTCATTTTAATTTTGCATTGCACACTCGGGAGTTAGTGTGCGAGGCTCTAATAACGCTATTGAAATATAATCACAAAAAAATGTAATCACCTTGGACGTAATAGGTGAAAAAAGTACAGAGCTTCAAGCAGCTTGTTTTGTCGATTACATTTTGGTGTAGACCAACAATGAACTGAGACGACCAAGACGCGCAGCACTAGCTAGAGAATTTTTTATTGTTGCAACTCGCACCAGTTACGAAAATCTGGACGACCCGCGCATTTAGAATGTTCCGGGCAAAAGATATGGATGGAAATCAGGCTGGAAAGCATCACAAGTTGTCACAGGCACTCATTTAGCTAGTCTTCCTGTGAACGTCGATTTCGTCACTATTCTTGCCCTGGACTAGCACCGTAATCACAAAGCCACTAAACGCTTGTGCTTGATTGAGAGACACTGCATTCGGTGCAGAACATAGTTTTCTTCCTGCTCTAGACAGTGCCTTGAAAATAAAGCCGGAGGAGAAAAAGAAAAAAAAAAAAAGCCTCATGGCCGAACAAAGGATGGAGACTATATCTTACAACCACATGAAAAAAAAAAAAAAAGAAAACAAGAATTGTCGTGACAATAAATTTGAGAGATATATTTTCGCCCACAAAATTGTATTTAATTACAATTGTATTTGAAATACCCACGTTTTAGTATTTAATTACACACGTCAAATACATTACCCAATTTGTAATTAAATACAAATTCAAAATACACAAAGTATTTGAAATACGTATTTCAAATACTGCCCATCCCTGCTTTTAGCACTTCATCGTTAGAAGTTGGAGCCGCATTCCCGCAACATAAATCGTGATTTGATAGAACTGAGACGCGGTCCGATCCGAAACCTTGCCGGCCAGCAGCCCTCACGCGAGCGGTATATCTGCTCGGTGTTTGAACCTTTCTAATTAACCTTTCTCCTGCTTACCGCTTCGAATAGGATAACTCCGTTAATCGTAGTCTGCTGCTTCGATATTGAGTTGCACAATAAGATAAAGTCCAATTTTGTTGCGATATTGAGTTGCACATAATGAGAGACTCGAAATTTGTTGCCATGTTCCTCCACGCAACTGCACGTCTGTTGCTTACACGCGTCACGTGGTTCGCACATATAATCACTCTGTCGAGCACGTGTGGGCTGTGCGATAAGCAGAGCTGGTTTGCATTTTGAGCAGCTGAAAGCCACTCAGAAAATATCAAGGCTCACATAGATCCAAGTTTTCGTATCTGTTACACTGTTATCCCATCTGCCTAGGTCCCTAACCACTCCTGTTTATCTGTGCTGCTAAGGACAATTGAAATTGATCCCGTGCTTGTCTAAGATACAAGCTGAAGTGCGATGAATACTGCTCCCAGCCTGCTCCTGAATGTAGTTTTAGCCGCTCCCAACCTGCTCCAAAACAGCTGCTTCAGCTGCTCCCGTGGCTGCTCCCGTGGCTGCTCCCAAGTGCATTTCATGAGTTCCACCCCTGTTTGTGGAACAACCTTATGCCTACCACGAGAAGTTCTCACAAATGGGCCGGATCAATAACACCGGATTTACCGAGCTACGCTGAGAAATTGCTGATAATGCGCAACATCGGACCCACTCCTCCTCGTCGGCGGTACCTTCTCACATGCACACACGTGTTTCTTCGCCGAGACGCTAGACCTCTTCAACAGCCCTACGACGGCCCATATACCGAGTCATAACTCGTGATCGTTGCAGTTTTACTCGCGACATCAAAAAATAAAAACAAACCGTGTTCATTGACCGCTTGAAACCAGCTTACCAAGAATTTACCAATTTACCTCCCTAGGGCTGGGCGTTCATTTAAAGAGTTAACCAGAATAATCACCTCCCTTTAATCGATTAATTAGTCAAATAATGAGGTTCGTTTATTCCGAAGCATAAGAATTAAAAAATACTTGTCAAAATTACATGTTTTTTTTTTTGTTTTTTTTGTTTTTTTTTTGTCTTTGCTGAATATGGGATAAACGGGGCAATGTACAACTTCGAGATTTTAATCGACGTGTAGTTGAGAACAGCCAAAACACATCCATTCTCGCGAATGGTTACTTCAACCTCGGAGGCCAAGAATTTCGTAGAGCTGCGCTAAACGGACACTCGCACGGCGTTGAAATGACTGGGACACGCTTCTCCACTTGATTGGAGTTACAAATCTCCCACCTACAGTAAACTTTAAGTTTGAGGTGTGACGACCAGTATCAGAAGGGCGCGCGCTTAAAAGCATGCTTCAAAGGCTCAGGTAGTGCGGTGCACAGATAACGGTTTCGTGCACCGCACTTCCAGCTGCCGGCACGCTATCCCCCGCAAAAAATATGCCTTCAGTATATATATATATAGTCACGTAGTTGCAGCCAGCCAATGGGGGGAAACTGCCGGCATTTTCCCGCTCGGACTACTCTGCCGGCTTCCGGCCAAATAGACTCGTCCATGTTTGTTCGGAGTGCGCTTCAACTTCGAACGCATAAGCGCCATAATTTATGGATCATCCGCTCCCCTCGATGTCATACGTAGGTGAACGTGGAAGGCTGCTGCGAAACGCGAGTGCATCAAATCCGCCGAAGCCGGCCGGCGAATTTTTGTTTTTTCGCGGACTTCTGTGCGGCATATGGTAGTAGGAGGAGGAGGAATAAACTTTATTATGGCGAGCCTTAGGTGCGCGCGTTGGGTTTGCTGACGCAGAAGTTTAAACAGGCCGGGCGCATTGGTAACGCCGATCGCGTTCAGAGCCTGAACCTACGACGATGCAAGGGGCGACGAGGCCGACGATATTTGCACGTCCTCCGTTTGGCAGCAGCAGCCGCTTCGCTGCAACCGCTTCGCTCCAACCCTCCAATCATTGAATTTTTCCGACTGTGTCACAGAGCAAAAATGTTTTGCTTCTTTTTTTTTTTTTTTTGGTAATTTTAGTTTGATAACATCTATTAAAATTATTAGAATTTCCGGGATTACATTTTTCCTCCATGTTCCTACGTTTCGTGACGTTCGTTTCACCGCAAATTTCAAACCAGTTTATAAATAATTGGAGTGCCCCCTAAACTTTCTTTTTCGGAAAAAAAATGGACCCCCCTTTGATTGCAATACTGTTCGATTAAGTTGGCAGAATGTTTGATGTCATTGATGATTTTTCGATGGCATCGCAGGAAACCCAAGGCAGAGGACCGGCAGCCTTCCGGGGACAGGAAGGCATTTCCCGTCCAGCTTACCAGGCACAGCGGACCCGGAGTTGGGGACACGCTGGTGGCACGCTTCTCTCTGCCCGGAGTCGTAGGTGGCGCTAATTGTCGCTATGCCTGCAACTTGGCTCTGTTACGGGATTTGCTGCGCCGTTTGCGCCATTACCCTGCTCCATTCTGCTCCATTTCGTCAAAGTATAATGAATTTGCGCCAGTATTGCGCCAAAACTAAATTTCATTTTATTGCAGATCAGGCCCGCTACATAGCCGGATAGTTATTATAGGTTGTTTTCACTGACGCAATTTTGTCCCCCATTTTGTTGTTGTGAGCTGTTTGACGTGTGCCGAAGACAAGCATTCCAAGGATTTGCAGGACCCCTTAGATGCATAGAGCACAGAAGCTTATAGGTCTTACCACGCTGACATCTCCTCAACAGGTTGCAATGTAACCCTTCACATTAGTAAATTTGTTTAAAAAAACGAACTTACAGCAAAATGGCGGATTGATGCCATGTGAAAACACCCTATAGCCCTGTACGAATTTACGGAACTTTCGATTATCGCCTAAAATAATGTACTACTCAATTTGATCTTTGTATCAAACGCTTGTACAGTAGACTCTCATTAATTCAAACTCCAGGAAGTCACACATTTTAGTTTGAATTATCAGAAGTATGAATTATCAAAAATTCTTGTCAATATGATACTAGACAACATTATGATTAGATGATCATTATGATGAATTCTAGACAAAGCAAATTTTTGCCAGTTTCGTCTACATAGGCCTAATTATAAGCAAGTACAGCCATAACACATTGGTGAAAGAACTGTGATGTTATAATGTGATGTGATGGCAAAAACGTTGTCGATTGTGGACTGTTTGTCAGCACATGAGATCTCCACAAGTAGTTCTTTACGGGACTCTTCGTTTGCAGACAAACTTCCGCAGCTGAGCGATGTGCTCAAAGGCTTCTGCGGCTGTGACAGTTGGTGGAGCGTCATCCCTTTCTTCATCGTCATATTTACTCTCACTGCTGCACTGTGCTGGCATTACTTCCTGTACTATGTCCTCTAATAAGTCATTACGACAAACACACACATCGTCGTCAAGACTAGCATATTCCGCCAGCTAGGCGTTTACATTATGTGCTTCAAGGCCAGAAAGCATGATGCCAGTCAGCTGCTCCTCATCCTCGATGTCGTCTTGGTCATCATTGCTTGTCTTGAAGCACATAATGTGAACGCAGTTTTCCGCTAATGCGTGCCCGCTTGAGCCCCGTTGAGTGCGCTTCTTTCCGAGCACAGGTGCACTGCGGAGAAGCAACACCCGCGAAAGCAAGGTCCGCGGGTATTGCTTCTCTGTGGTGCACCGGTACTCGGAAAGAAGCGTCCTCAACGGGGCCGCGAGAACAAAAAAGTATGAATCAAGCGAAAACGCCGTTCGAATTAAGCGGCTTTATAAATACAATAAAAGCATAGCGGGACAACCAAAATTTTCAGATCTGTTTGAATTAACTGGAAGTACGAAATATCCAAGTTTGAATTATCGCGAGCCTACTGTAATACTATGAAGCCTCGCATCATTATTCACGTTCGTAGTCTGTTTTGGCAGGTTAGTTAGCTTTGTTAAGTGCGTTTATCACCGCGCACCTGTGCACTGAATTGACGCGGGACAGCGGGGTAGGCAATGCAACGTTGCGTATCTTGCTTCGCCGCAGCGCACTTGCGCGCGAAGGGGTAAGCAGCTCTCCAGAGCTTGGCATTGAAGACGCGGTAGCGTTGATACAACAAATGTTTCCTTGCAGTGATATTTTCTGAGTAAAACTGCGGTTCATATAGTGTATATGATGGACAGCCATAGTCCGACTTTTTTGTTATGCAAATTCGAGATTTAGCAAAGAGACTGGAGTCTGGCGAGACGATACAGAAAATGCTTAATTTTATACCAAAATTTTTTTTCTGGTACAAAAGAGAGGTGAGAGTTATCGTGAGAATGGCACACGGATGGCCATTCTCGCGATCTATTTTTCACGCTGAGAGCACATTAGGTGAGTGGATAACCTTAATTCACGGTAAGTCGACTAATTAATTGAGGTATATTAATTATCTTTGTAATTAACGGTTTTCTGGTTCATTTTGCCTTGATAGTTTTGCCGGCAATAATTATCAGAGGAGAGACCAGTTTAAAGAGCTTGCAAAAAGTATCCTTGCAGTGTCACAGCAGGGGGTGGCGAAGGTCGCGGACGCCCGTCTTGACGTGGGTCGCTCTCCAGCTTCAGAGTTCACGAAAACTTGGAATGCCGTGATACTTTGCTCCTGCTTTTCGCCGGAACTTTTACAACCAACTGTCAGGATCGCGACATCTGACAGCAAAACGCTCCGGCTTTTGTGAAGTCCTTTGTTGCCACCTCGGGACCAGTTTTGACGCATGGGTGGAAAGGAACGCTAAACACATCAGTCAAAAGAGACATTCCAGGCACCATACTGAAACCGAGAAAGAACCCTGGTTGCAGCCGAGCGCGTGCAGTGACGCCGCCAACGGCCCCTTTCTTTCGCCCTGCAGAAATCTGGTGGGGCGCTGACGTTGGACGTCGGTGAAGACAGAGTGGTTCTGGGTAGCAAGGACCCCCAGTATTCGTTCGACTTCTTCGTGCCACACTGTGTTGACCCGGAGGCAGCAGTGGCTGAGTTTGACACCCGACATCACGTAAGTCAGAGTTCTTTCTTGTTTATCTAAATGGGGAAAACTGTTGCCATGTGCCACCGAAAAGGCACGTTGCTGTTAGTGGGCATCAGCGATAAGTAAACGAATAAGTATGCGGGCAAGCAGAGACATCGCTCGAGCAGAAAATAGGTTTTACATTGAATATGTAGACCAAGATACGAAGCCTGCAATACGGTAGAGAGCACCATGTTTTTTGTGGTCATTTTATGCTTAGTATCAGGTTGCGGATCTAATGCTTATGTCTAGATATGTTTTTGACCTCGTCTTTCGCCAAGTCGCTTCTGTAGACCATATTATTCGGCTCTCCGAGTGTACCGTGGAGAAGCTGATGCACGTGCTGTTTCTTCAGGATTGAGTGCCTGCCTATTGATCGAAAGTGAAAGCGTCTTCTTAATTTTCGAGCTATCATACACTTTAATTTGAATGCTGTGGGACTCTTGTCAGGTGACAGTTTTAAACTGTTTGATCTCGAAGCCTATACATCGCTCGACATAAAGTAAACAATTGATTCATGGATTGATCGAGACACGAGGCCTTGCCATCCGAGCCTACCATCTTACTGGTTTGGTTAAGCACCATTGCCTTCGTATCACATGCGCCCATTCAAAACATCTTAAACAGATTAACATTTATTGTCTTGGTGCATGCAGCCATCTTTCGTTTGGACGGCTGTGGTTTGGGCTAGATAGGAACTAGGATGAGCTAGATACCAACTGGATGTTTTCTTCTGGGATTTTACGGGAATACTGCAGATCACAAATGCAGCAGAATCGTATTTCACGATGCGATATACATGTGGGGCCAACTCGCGTGTAATCGAGACCGCGCGTGCAGATCGCGGACAAAAACGCGGGAATCCGCTACAAACTTTATGTCGCGGGAACGGATACTGCATAATATGGACGTAGCAGATTTGCATTTCACGGTGCAAGATACATGCGGGAGCAACTCGCTTGTCAGATGTGCCGGTACAGCAAATTGTGTGGTGGATGTGATTCCCATCAGTCATCTCATGACGTCCGACGGGATTCGGGGGGTGGGCGATGTTTCGGAATTTTTATGTTGCAGATATTTTGGCAGAAAAACGAGACGGGCAATCTCCCGAGGGTGGGCGTTCTCTCCGAACGTTGCGGTATATATATATATATATATGAAGAAAAAACCCTTAGTGAAAACAGCAACAACGGACGATTTAATCTTCGACGTTTCGGCCGGAGTCCGGCCTTTGTCAGGAAGACATATATATATATATATATATATATATTATATTAAATATGTTATTCTTATTTTGTGGATATTATCCAGGCACTTAAATAATACTTGCTTTGGAGAGTTCCTTTTGAAGGGCTCTCACAACAACATTGTGTAGGAATGTTTTCCTTCTAATGCACGCAATGGAAGCAAATAGGTTGTTCCAATGTTCCAGGCTGTGATACCGACCATCGCCGGTTTCTCCATAACAAATCGTGGTTGTTTACGAGATTGTAAATCAGCTTTAATTGAAATATTTGCCTAGAAACGAAATGTTTGATCAGGTGAGTTCTCTCCGAAGTTTCTGCACTGAAGCCGAACTATGTTAAGTTAAAAGTCTATGAAAAATATAAGTGATTTAAGATAGAATAAATCAAGTACTTTTACATACTCTGCTGAGATTGTTCTTTTGTGTGATGCCAGAGCTCATAGAGTAATGTCTCGTTAATATTAATACCGGCGGCGATATAGACAGCATTTTCTGAAACAAATTAGATAAATATATTAATTTTTGTCTCGTTATTATGGACAACTTATATTATGGACGCTTTGGGGCGAACGGAGCTGTCCATATTAACGAGATACCTGTACTATGAAACAGCTTTTTGTGTGTTTTTCTGGAGTAAACAAGCAAGAAATGAGACACGTTCGGTATTTAAAAGAGAAAGCACTTCTGGGAATTGAAGAAATCCTACTTGTTAATTCGATGAAGACAACGAACACATGTGTTGCCTTTCTCCACGGCTCGAATGTTCTTGCCAGCCTGTGTCTCGCACATCGAGTCCACTTTCTTATTTTTCTTTTGTTAACTGACCTGCGGGTCTGTCGATCCCTACAGATGTGCCCCCCCATTCCCCCCCCCACCCCCCCCCCCCCCACACACACACACCTTTAGTAAGGGACAAGGCCGAGCGATGAAATATACATGGGGATCTTAAGGTTAGAAAACAAACAAACACACTGGAAACGAGTTCTAGCGTTAATGCTGCCACTGGACGCTGGCCGACTTTTTTTCAGGACGGTCTCTTTCAATGTTTGTTGCATAAGATGCGAGGTTCACTGGTGAATGTTTGAGGTGGGTAGGTTTCAGCCACTACAGAGAAATTGTGTCCGGGTGCCCGTTGACCTGCGCAACGAAACTATTCGGTTTCCTTTCGAGAACTGGAAATGGTCCCCATAGTGTTGTTGCAGTGCCTTGCGGTGTTGTGTTTGGTGCACAAACACATGTCGCATTCTGGAGGTCTTGTGTGACATACGGCGTTTTGGTTGACACTGCTCGCACAGAAACTGGCCGTAGGTCCGTTAAGATGTATTTCAGCTTTGTGTTGTAGTCCTCTGGCCGTGTGGTTGTCGCAGGGTCGACCTCAAAAAAGTCTGATGGTAGCTGTAGAGTTTTTTTTTTAGACCAGATTGGAGGTCACGCAGCTGAGGTCCTGTTTCAGGGCCGTTCTAACTCCAAGTAAGACGAGTGGGAGCTACCTTACCCACTCGGTTGAGTTGGCATGGGCCATGGGAGCAGACTTCATGTGACAGTGGAAATGCTCGACCAGGCATTTGACTGGGGACGGTAAGCGGTTGCCCGGGATCTTGTTACGCCCCAAGAGTTGAGTCAACTTGGTGAAGAGGCTGGACTCGAGTCGTCGCCCTCTGTTGGTGATAGTTTCTGAAGGGCATCCAAAGCATGCCACCCACCTAGTTGAGAACGCTTCAGCTACAGTGGCTGCTCTTGAGTCCGGTAGTGGTGTTGCTTCCGGCCATCATGTAAAGCGGTCAATACAAGTCAAATTGTACCATCTCCTTTGTGATGCTGGGGGGGGCTCAACAAGGTTAAAATGAACCTTGCCAAAACGGGCATCTGGCGGCAGGAAGCTCGTGCATGGAGGAACGGGGTGGCGATGTACTTTAGCTCGCTGACTTGCCAGGCATGTGCACACCCAGTCTCGGACATCTGACTTCAGCCGTGACTGGCCACCAGCTTCTGCGTCGTCTGTACTCCTTGATGCGCCAGCGAATGAATGGCATCAACAAGCTGCCTTCGTTATGCAACTGGAATAAACGGACGATGTGTTCCTGTTGATAAGTCGCAGACAATGATTAGTATGTCTCCAGGAAACTGGACGTCTTGGAGTCGAAGGGATGTGCTCGCCGTGCGCAGCTGCTGTAACATCATTGGAGGCCTGATGGTGAGCCAGCAAGGTAATGTCGACTAGTGGAGCTGAAGAAGACACAGCATCGATTCGGCTCAGTACATCAGCGAAAATGTTGAACTTTCTCTGTACGTGCCCAATGTCCGTGTTGAACTCTGACAATTATGTGAGCTGCCGGATCTTTCGAGGCGGGTAAGTGGAAGCAGAGTTACGGATGGCACACATTAGCGGGTCCGTCCCCCTTGCAGGAGGTGCCTACACCTTAGGTGTTAGGCGCTTGGTGAGTGGCGTCACCATGGACCCCAGCCATCTGGGCCGCCATACCCACACTCAGGGGCATCTACTCTAGTAGGTGCTTGGTGAGTGGCATCACTACAAACCCTGAGCCATGTGGTTTTGCTCACCCACGCCTGGCTGTGCGCGTGGCTTAACCCGTGTTCGGAGGAAAGGGGATCCTGGTTGTTGAGCTGAGCCCGGGGTATGTTTGGAACCTTCGGGGCCCCCCGGGCAAAACCATATATCCCTTTGGCCCCTGCTTCTCGCAGACTGGCTTGGCCTGACCAGGATGATTCAGTCAGTCGCCTTTTCTACCCTCTTTCCTCTTTCCTTCCACTTTCTCTTTTCTTCTACACTCTCTTCTTTCCTTTTTCTCCTTTTTAGGTGGGAAGGGCCATCCCTGAGTGGAAACAGGTCCTGTCCCTGCAACCACACTTGGGTATAGTGCCTGGGAAGCACTGGTAAAATATTTGTGTCAGCCAAGCCCTTCTTGCTATGGCATATTATCTACCCCCTTGTTGGGCTCCGTGGTGGGAAATGCACCCGGGCTCTAAACTTTCCTCCCGTCTCCTTATGGGTCCGCATAACAAACCTTTTTTTCATCGGCCTCTGAAAAGGGTCCGCACCAAAGCGCTCAACACAGTGAAACAACCTTTTTAACTGCAGAAATTCTCGAAGTGTCTCGTATTGCACTCGGAGGGTGACAAGAGACTTGCCAAACTTTCCCCCTTTCTGGTCTCCGAAATTCTTGAAGGTGTTATTGGCACCATATTACAGTGCAAAAACGATGCGATCCAATGATCTCCTTGTCGAGGTCAACACAAAGCAGCAAAGTGATGCCTTTCGAAAACTCAGCCTCGTCTCTGACTACAAAGTAAGCGTGGATCCTCACCGCAAACTGAACAGTGTACAAAGGGTAATTTCTGAGGATGACTTGCTTGACTCGTCTGAGCCAGAGACAATTGAGGGCGTCAAGGAGTTATAGCTGCACGATGGATCACTATCTGCCGTGACAGTGTGGAACGGAAGACAAAACACATCATTTTGACTGTCGATTCGACCACCCTGCCGCAGACTGTAAGGGCAGGTTACCTTCAGTGCCAGGCACGACCTTATGGGCCAAACTCTCAACAGTGTTTTAAGTGCCAGTGATTCGGCCATGGGTCACAGAACTGTCGGGGAAGGGACACTTGTGCAAAGAGCACGGCGCAGACGCATGCAATAATAAGCCTCATTGCGCAGGCTGTAGTGGCCACCACTCGGCATACTCCCAATCTAGTCCTCTGTGGAAAGAAGAGAAAGAAATTCTTTCATTGAAAGTTACGTGAAGATCACCTACATTGAGGCTAAGAAGCGTTTTGCCTTTGTATCAAAAGGCTTTTATGCCCAGGCCATGCACAGGGGACCAGCTCGGTCAGTGGTTTCGATGGGAACACAGACGTCTGCGGACGACTTGCATCTCCCATCACGGTCCCCCTCCAAACTTTCATGAGCGGTGCCAGCGGCACCTTCTCCGAACCGCTAGGTGAATGCTGCCTTGCCAGCATCCACCCCAGAGCAGGAGATGACATCTCCTGCTCAACCAGCTGCTTCAACCTCTCGGGGCTGGGGCCTACCTCCCCACACCTCTGCTCCCCAGAGGAAGCCTGGGGAAGCATCGAGGCAGTCGACCTCCAAGGGCCAGCTGCCGGCGGCTGCAGATGAGCCCTTGGACGAGGTTGGGCTGAGATGTGTTGAGGAGGCTCTCCTCTCAAGATCAGAGTCCACCCCTTCTGCCTCCGATGACTCTACTCCTCTGCTCGGAAGCCGAAAGACCACCCTAAAAACACAGTGCGCCACGTGTGAAAATAAATTTGAAGCCCTAAGGAACTTACCGTAATCTCCCGAGAGATGCCCCGCCCCAAAAGATAACCCACCCCTATTTTTAGCTTGTTTTGCTATTTTTTTTTTTTAACACTGAAAGATAGCTTACTCCTAGTAGTCGTAGTTTCGAGATTAATGATTACCTCGGCGCAAATGTGACTAGGTAGCTGTGGTAGGATTTAAGCGAACATTGCTGACTAAGAAGTAAAGTGACCTTTGCTGTATTGTCCCTCGCCGCAATAACAAGTTTGGTAGAAAATCGTGATCTAAAAATAGAGATTTTTCAACTTATCTTGGCTGTACACCGAAAGTTAGCTCACTCCTTATTTTCACCCGATTTGCTCTTGATTATAGGTGGGTTATCTCTCGGGATAATACTGTATTTTTAATACACTTTTTATGTTATACTTATTTTGTTTTGAATGGTTAAAAGTATAGATATGCAGTGGAACTGCCGCGGTCTTTTTCGTAATATTGATGATGTTAACTTTTTTTCTCGATGAGCTCCAACCTGTTGCCTTCTGTTTTTACAGCAGACTCATCTTAATAAAACTCATACACACGTACTACGACAACATCAGGATTTTAAAAAATAATGTGTTTCTTGCAACACACCTCTTCTGGTGGAGTAGCCGTGGTTGTGCAGAGTGGTATTGCTTGTGCTCCTGTTCCTCCCGCGACCGCCTTAGAGGCAGTAGGGGTTCATGTTCTCCTTGACGGCCTAATCACACTTGTTTCGCTTTACCTTCCACCAAACCTTCCAGTGCATTTACATGACCCGCAAGGATTGTGGACCTGCTCCCACGGCCGTTTTTAATCTTGGTAGATTTTAATGCACACCACCCCATCTTGGGCAGTGCTCATCAAGACTCCCCGTGGTGGAGTCATAGAACGTTTTAGAGTGCAGCTCTTAGGCACCCGTTTCCGGCTTGAGCGGCGTCGCTGTTGCCGTCGGCGTAATTGCGCAGTGCATTATTGGTAAATTTCCCCGCCAAATTAGCGGTTAATTTTCCCCGCCGAACTTAGCGGGAAAAGATTCCCCGCTAAATTTAGTAGAAAACTTTCCCCGCTAAATTTAGCGGAAAAATTCCCCCGTAAATTTAGCGGAAAACTTTCCCCAATAAATTTAGCGGAAAAAGGTCCCCGCTAAATTCGGAGAGAAAATTTCCCCACTAAATTTAGCGGGAAAAACTCTCCTTAGCTGAAACTTTTCCCTAAATGGGAGGCAACCAAGAGAGGAGGAGTGGGCATAGCCTCGCCCCCGTACCGTTCCCTCCTCCTCCTCAAGAGCTGCGCTCTAATTCGGCGTTACAGGGAGTTGTAAACGGCTTTCATTTTCTTTTTTACTGTCCTCTGGTCTTTGCCTTTTAAACGAAAGATAACTAACTTTTTTTTTAGTGCACCTCATAATACCTTTACTTCCATTGACTTCTCCATATCATCACCTACTTTACTTCCTTGTTTTTCTTGGAAGGTTTTACAAAATCCTTTTGGTAGTGACCATTTTTCTGACATTTTAGGAAGTGCAGTATCACTTCCTTTTGTTTGAGCTTGCGTCCCCAGGTGGAAGTTAGATAAAGCTGATTGGGCTCTATTTTCTCTGGAGGCAATGGTCGATCCCACTGTTTTTTTAGATACGTCTCGAGGAGGCGACTCTTTACTGAAAGAATTATAAATGCTGCTTCTGTGTCAGCTCCCCGAAATTCTGGTAATATCCCCAAGAAATGCCAACCTTGGTGGAACAAGGTCTGTACGACACCCATGAAAGCTCAGATTAAGGCCTGGGGAAGGTGTCGGCGGTACCCGACTGTTTAGAACAAGGTCAAATTCAAACAGTGTAAGGCAAAATCTTGTTGGACACGAAAACAAGCCAGGAGGAACTCATGGGTGAAATATTTGTCTTCTCTAAACAGTTTTGTTTCTGCAAAAGAGGTATGGGATCATATTAGGAAAATTCAGGGTACTTACTACTCCTTTAGCATTCCCCTTTTCCCTTCATCATCGACATCACTAAAAAAACAGGCTAACATTCTTGCTGATCATTTTCGAGAAGTCTCGAGTTCCTCAAATTACACTGCTAAATTTAAAAAAGTTCAGGTCCTTGGCAGAAAACGGCTCGAGGTACACCTAAGCACTTCTTGTGAGTTGTGAATGAGAAAGCATACGTGCCGTTCTTCTGGTCCCGTGCTTCGTTTGTGGCGTATTTGCGTCAACCGTGCGCGCGCTCTCCCAGCTCTCCTTGCAGCTCTGACCTTGTATGCTTCGTGTTACAGGCGCGCTCAACCGATGAAGCGGCGGTCGTTACAGTAGGCTTGTGCGAAACCTTCGATTATTGCTTACAATAACGCAATATTCTATTTTATTTTCGTATCCAATAGTTACAGTACTCGAAAGTTCCGACATACTCTTATTGTTCGTGGTCTGTTTGGGCAAATAAATTGGCCTCGTTGAGTGCGCTTCTCATCGCACACGAGTGCACACCGGAGAAATGACAGCCATGATGCAGGCATAAAAAAAAGCATCTGGAGCACAGCCATGTCTCAACTTGCTTTCCAGTTAAATAACCGAATAACTTAAATGCAAAGCGATTTGTCAGATGAGTAATCTCCAAATGTAATTTAACTATTAAAATGTCAAAATAAAACCGCGACCAGTCTATGTTGACTGCCATATCCTGACGAGTTATCGTGCATCATTGGTCGTGACTATGTTTTTGACATTCGAGATTGAGGGAAACTTAGGTGTAGCAACAGCATTTCTTAATAACCCTGATTAGGAAGGAATACCTAATTGCCAAAAGAGCATTGATATTTTTTTTTGTCAGGTTCCCATTTTTAGCTACCATCTCTATCTAGGCTTTCAACTGTTTGATGGTTGTCAATAAAACTTAAAAATAAAGGAGCTTCAGCATTAGACATATGGAAGGGAGTGTATAATCTTAACAAGTTGATTGTAAGAGCCCGCCTTTAGCTACCATCTCTATCTAGGCTTTCAACTGTTTGAAGGTGACCAATGAAACTTAAAACTGAAGGAGCTTTATCATTGGACGAATGGAAGGTAGTGAGAGTCGTATATTTAGTGCTTCTTGCTTATTTCGCGTTGTCAAAAGTACAGGAGAATTCCCATTGATGTTCATAATTATATAAGAGCCTTTCATTGACAGAATTAGGGATTGCAGTTGTATTACGACCTTCAGAGCTTGAACAAAATGTTAAATTTTTGTAATCATGCTATTTTCTTCTAACATTATTTCAGTATAACACAATTTTATTTGTTCTCGATTTTAGACCTAAACTTGCTATACAAAGATGTTTCTGATTTTTCCTTCACCAATTAGCATGTGTTTCAAGAGTGACTGATACAGTAGGCCTTGTTACACGAAAAGGAGGACTTTCATCGCAATTATTTTGCTGCCTCGTCTGGTGTTTTCGAGAGCACGCAACAGCCAGTTGTTGAGTATTGGATCGAATCAAACTGTCCTTTGGAGTTAATGCTCACCTAACAAAGGAAGGCATTGTATTTGAACTAGGCAGGCCGCCACATAAATCTTAACATAGTATTCAGAGTAAAATGAATGTGGGTGAAGTATAAGCTCCTGCTCAAAAAGTTGTTTGCTGCTTCAAGAAGGACTGACTGCTCCGAAGAGTGCAACAAAACGACTGGGGTCAATTATGTCACTGGAAATGCAAACTAAAAATATTTGATTTTGCTCGCTAGGGAAGCTGCTCAAAACGTGATAGCTAGTGGCGACCAGATACGAGTGCTCGTGCAAACAGGCATTTTTCAGTCATGCTCTCGCTTCAGGCACTTTGCTTTGCTGAAGCTAACTTGTAAGATGGAGTGTACAGGGTGTTTAAAATTATATTTCACACGTGTTTCTAAAAAAAAAAAAGCCGTAAAAGCTATGCAGATGAGTTATATGACCCGGCAAAAAAAAGGGGGGGGGGGAGCATAATCGTCATGATAGGTCGGATAGTTTATTAGTATTAGTTAATTATATTTTTTCATTATTAATAGTATACATAGCATTCAAATTAGAAACTTCCTTTGCGTCATCGAAAAAATGTACCACTGGTGCAAAAGGTGCAAAGCTGGCTGTGCGAACACGCAGATAATCTTATCAGCGTTTTCTGATGGCATATTGAGTTTATCAAAATATTTTATAGTGCACAAATTGTTTTCCATAATATAATTGGTTTGTAGTGTGTCCACTCTTCTTTTAAAGAATTGCCACGCAGCTTCAAGCCCAATGTTTCCCAGAATTTCGACCAGCAAACCATATAATTCGGAAAGCTTTTATTACTTAGGAAATGTGTTGTGACAATGCAGAAGCCTGTTCCACATTGTCTTAATGGTTTTTCTTTTCTTTCTTCAGGTACTTACAGTGACCATGCCCCTTCTGCCAAGCCAGTGCTGACTTGCAGACTGAAAAGGATCTGGTGCTCAAAAGCCTGTTAATAAAAAGTTTGATTGTAACATGGCGGTCGGCTGTGATGTCCTAATTTTAAAGCACCACCGGGAATTACATTTGAACTTCCGTTTAAAGCACATAAAGAAAACACATCATGTATAAAAAGCTGCGACGGAATGCTTAAAGGGGCACTGACACCCCAAAGGTCGTATTTATTTTTATTGTCTAAAACGATGCAAGTTGCAGTCATAGACACGCAAAAAAAACCGCATCGCGAAAAAAAATTTTCCCGCGCGCGCGCGCGCCTTTTTGTTTTTGGCGTTTGATTTTCCCGCCTCTTGCCTCCTCGTTTCTTTTGATCGGTGACGTCAAGAATCATGAAATTTAGAAGCTTTGTAGGCGACATCTCTATAACATTTAATTACGGCAATCCTAAAACATGTTTTTTAACGCAATTGCGAACGCACTACGGCCCTTCTTTTTGAAATACCAAAAATCGGGAGTTCGTTGTGGTGCCGTCTCCTGGATTTGTATCCTCCGACGGGAAACAGGCGACACCGCTCAAAACCGGTCCGCCGGAACGCCGGCGCTGGCTCCTTTCCCCCTCGCTTTGGGTCGCCATGGCAACAGCAGGGAGGGGTGAAAGGAAGTCGACTCTCAGGTCTCCGCGATTTTTGACGTCAAGGCACCGGCGCCGATCGCGCGGGAACTTCGAATTCGGCATTTGGAAATTGTTTTTTTACTTCACGAATACTGAATTCCCAAATCTCACATTTTGAGGGTAATGTCCCGGCATCGTTTTCAATCGTTTCGGATAATAAAAAAAAATATGATTTTGATGTGTCAGTGCCCCTTGAAGACGAAATTTATTGGACAATTTTATCGCATGAACAAAAATACCACACCACCCGTGATTTCTGGTTTCTGCATGCCTCCAAAACCTGAATGATGAGGATAACGGAAACATTATTTATTTACATCAAAACGGATACACTCAGGTTCTCTTGACTCGACTTGACCGAGCCGTAGGGGATCCAACATATTATGGCAGCGCCGTACCTACTAAACCCGTCGCAGGCCCAAACAAGATGGCGCCGCCTCATGGTTTCCGTGGGTCGCCCTCTTGATTTAGTAACGCCACCAAACCTCAGGGGATTCAATTGGCGCCGTGGACGCCCATTTCCCATCCCATAGGTGGTAAGTACTACAGACCTATTTCACAAGTGTGCCTCTTGAAATAATGACACTTCCAGTATGGGCAAAAACATTGTTTTGCCGTCGCCACGCCAATAGAAGACGTTTAGGATATAATCGTCTCCGTCAAACATCCTCATTTTACCCCTTTATTTTTTACTATTTACAGGATGAAAATTTTTATTATTTCTTCCTCACCCGTAACGGATACGCATATATTAGGTAGCTGGGGACGAGAATACACGAAAAACGTCTATATACCTTCGTTCGGCATACCTGCACCAGTCCAGAAAAGTGTAGGGCGGTGTACTTCTGGTAGTATCTCAATACACATACAAGAAGTACAGGGTGTCACAAAGGAAAATTTACACGGTCCTTTTTACCGCAAAAATAAAGTAGGCATCGCCGAACGCTCATTCTCCGCCCAAAGGTAGAGCTAGAGGTCACAACCAGATGCCAAAGTTTCAGCCCGATCCGATAACTCAATCAAAAGTTATAAGTGATTTTCTGAAAATTTCAATGGGAAAATGGCGGCCGATAGAGTTTCCGAACACATGGGGCTCTATGGCACCGGAAACCGAAAACGGGCAAAAATGGGCTCCATTTTCCCATTGAGATTTTCAGAAAATCACTTTTGAAGTGTTTTGAAGGGGTCACGAAGAAGGCGAAGCCCGAGAGCGCGGGTGCTAAGGCGCGAGCGGCTGGGGCGGCCGCGGCTCCCCGGCACGCAGAAGATGCTCTGTGCTGGTTTTGACTAAAAAAAAAAAAAAAAATAAACGCCTTCTTTTTGCTATAATAAACCACGGCCGGACTGGAAGCGCGTGCTGTCTTTCTCTTCTTACGGCCTTTGCCCGGGAGTCAATGACATTTTTCCTCCGTATGTAGTTCACTTGCTTGCCGCCAGGGGCGCAATCACCTCACCCCACTTCACCCCACTCGGAGAGTCCCTTCGAGCCGCTTCGCGCTGGTGCTCGAGCTTCGTTGGTTGTTGTTTTGGCAACGGTTCCTCAGAATACTTCTGATTAACCATGCAAAGACGGTCACGGACAGAAACGAAAAATCAGCTGGATATGTGCATAAGCCCTCGAGGAAGCACTTTAGGCTGTAATGTGTACGGTGCGAAAATTGTACAGACTACTGCACCCTCGTCTAGAGCAGCTGACCGACTGCATGTGCGGCCTATGGAACGATGATGCAGACCACGGCAATAGATAGATTGGGCCTGCTTACATTTCACGAGAGTGCACGAATTATTTATTATTTAAAGCTCCTCCACGTAGTAGGGGTCCGTCTCCTCCTGTTCTTGAGTTGCAACAGAAGTCCTGGAGTAAAAAAATAGTTTTTCCGCAATTGCATTCGCTATCTCTACTTACTACTTTTTCTTCCCGAATATCTTGGAGATATGCTTCAAATATTCACCGTCTTGGGCTCATCAGAAGCTCATTAGATAGTGGCTGAGGGTCTAAACGTAAGGATCAGGTGTCAAAGGCTATAAAAAAATCTCGGCCGCAAGTTGCGACAGCAACTTGCGGCATTTGAGATGCACTGTCAGACGCGCTTTGGGCAAACGACAAAGGGTAGGGGTAGCCCAGGGGTGAGGTGACAACGCCCCTCACAAATTGCGGCGGGAGGTGGCGATTGCTCCGATTGCAAAGGCCGTAAGAAGAGAGAGGGCAGGCTTCCAGTCCGGCCGTGAATAAACACAGTTAACAGCACCTTGACTCAGTCACCGTCACTCATAAAGTAGTCACATCACTAACACCAATTTATTTTTCTATTAACTTAGCGAAAACACACGACGTGTGACCTCTGTACCAAGTAAGTTTTTCCGCTTCCATTCGCGCTGGAATTTATTATAATGTAGGTGCTTCACTCGTCAAAACGACTGCTAAAGGTCTACTAAACAAATTTAAACGATCGCTCCATTATTGCATTTTATGCAATTTGGAGATAAATGCCGCTGTAACTTTTACGCTGCAGGTGACAATAGTATCAAACTCTTAATTCCGATCACTAATCCGACCGTGAGAGAAGTGAGAAGTGTTGCGTTCCAGTGGTCATTCAGGCTCAAAGCTATCCGCGCAGCCCTTGAGGCACTTCACCCGGATCGCTAATAAGGTTCGGTGCCGCTCCACCTACTCACTCGCTAGACTGATTAATTAAAACTTGCTATTAATTAAAACTTGCTATTAATTAAAACTTGCTCATTATTGTTCTGAAGGAAACGTTGGGTCTTGTACACTCAAATACGTTTCTAAAAGCAAAAATACATTATGTGTTTAACATGTGTAGCGTATACGAGTAGCGAGTCAAGAGTCCAAGATGTCTCATGCAACCAAACATTGGCAATCGAAACGAACAGTGCGGTTTACTCTGTTTACTTTATCGTAGCAATAAAATAACAATCGCTCAAAACATTATTCAGGAAGTAGAATTTTTTCAGGTAGTCCGCACGACATCCATTCATCTATAGGACCCGCTTTTAGAATCGTGGAAGGTAGCCAAGGGTGGAAAGCGTGAGGTTTATTCTCCCTCTCTCTCGTGTATTGATCACAGTGAGACCTCCCCATGATGTCTGAATAAGATAAACACACGCCAAATGATGTTGCAATTGTGTGCCTTTCCCCGTTTAGCCCTGAAGATGGCATTAAATGCGAAGATTTTCGTATTGTTTTGTTCTCTTGCTCTTGCTATATCTAAAATTTACTGAACATTTTCGCTCCACCGGCTGCTGATCAAGCGAATTATTTATTACAAAGTACAATCCGCGTATTGTTTTTATTTGTTGAGTATTTACTCACTGATTCTCTACATATAGCGTCGAGATAGCCCACGAAGGTAAATGGGCTGATGTCAACGGTTTTAAATTTTCTCCTGAGAAGACCGTCTGTGTGAGTTTCTCACGTCGCCGCGGAGTTTTGCACGAACCTTCTTTGACTATGTATGATGTTCCTATCCCAGTGAAAACTGAACACAAGTTTTTAGGTCTTATATTTGATTCCAAATTGACTTTTGTTCCGCATGTCAGGAGCCTGAAGATGAAATGTTTTAAATCGCTTAATATACTTAAGGTCCTGTCGCATGTGTCCTGGGGTGCTGACCGTCTTTGTCTCTTGCGTATCTATCGGTCGGTCGTTCGATCCCGACTTGAATACGGTTGTATTGTGTATAGTTCTGCCCGGACATCGGTTCTCAAAATGCTGGACCCTGTTCATCATCAGGGGTTGCGGCTTGCTACCGGTGCTTTTCGCACATCTCCTGTTCTCAGTCTATACGCAGAAGCAAACGAGCTCTCTCTGGAGAAAAGAAGATCTGAACTGGGCTTCACATATTTGATGCGAATCAGATCGGTTCCTAACCATCCAACCTTACACTGTATGGAACGAATACGCTACGAGCGAACCTTCAGTAACAAGCCTACAGTTGTTCCACCTCTTGCCATGAGGGTTCGCAATTCTGCGGAGTCTGTGGGACTGGACGTGTTGCCTCCAGTTGTGCAGTGTTTGAGTTCGGCAGCCCCTTGGGACCTAGTTCCCATTCAGTGCGAACTGGAGCTAACGAAATTCAACAAAAAAGACACTCCTAGCGAAGTCCTGAGGCAAGAATTCCTTGAACTCCAAGTACAGTATCACGACTTTATAAGTTTTTACACTGATGGTAGTAAAACTGATTCCTCTGTGGGTTGCGCAGTGGTTGGGCCTGGGATGCAGCTTGTCCGGAGAATAAATGACAGTGCCTGTAGTTTTACGGCAGAGCTTTATGGCTTACTCCTCGCCACAGATAAGATCCTCAAACAAAAGCTTCACAAGCCAATTGTTTACACCGACTCACTTAGTGCTTTACGAGCTCTTGCCAGAGTGGGAAA